CTACAATTCAAACTACATGTTAGACCATAAATACATGTTAATATTAAATGGAATGTGCATATTGTTATCTTATCTGACAATTAAAAATACTTTTGAGCTCTTTAAGAGCACGAGGATCGCGGTCACCCCTGGGGTATCCAGGCCCCAGTGCAGGCACCAAGTAGGTCATTCTTAAGACCCCTCAGAAGCAGACCTTCAAGATCAGATCGACATCAGCCGGGAGGAGACAGTGGCACTGAAAGAGAAGACTGAATCTGAAAAGGGGAAGATGCCTTTCCAGTAGCAGGTCAGAAGCTAATCTATGCAGGCCAAACCCTCAGTGACGACACTGCTCTCAAAGAATACAAAACTGATAAGAAAAACTTGTGGTGGTTATGGTGACAAAACCCAAAGCAGTGACAGCCCCAGTGCCAGTGCCAGCTCAGCCATGGAATGCTCCCACCATGGCTGCAGTTAGCTTCTCCACGGCAGCAGTTGTGGCTCAGGCTCCAGCCCCCACCCCTGTTTCAGCTCCCACTTCCACACCAGCATCTACTACTTCAGCTTCAACTACAGCATCTTCTGTACCCGCACCTCTAGTGCAACTCAGCCTAAGAAAGCTGCAGAAAAGCCAGCACAGTCCTCAGTGGTTACTAGCCCAGCACCAGCTGACAGTACACCAGGAGATTCGTCCCGGTCAGAAGACGCAAAAAGTGCCCTTGTGACAGGTCGATCTTAAGAGACTATGATAACTGAGATCGTGTCAATGGGTTATGAACGAGAACAAGTAATTGTGGCCCTGAGAGCCAGTTTCAACAACCCCGATGGAGCTGTGGAATATCTTCTAATGGGAATCCCGGGGGATAGAGAAAGTCGGGCCGTGGTTGATCCTCCTCCCCAGGCAGTGAGTACTGAACTCCTCAGTCTCCAGCAGTCCTTGGATTTTTAAGGACTCAACCTCAGTTTCAACAGATGGGACAAATTATCCAGCAGAATCCTTCCGTGCTTCCAGCTTTGCCACAGCAGATAGGTGGAGAGAACCCTCAGTTGCTGCAGTTAAAGGCACTAGATTTCCTGAAGGACTTGTGATTCAAGCTTACTTTGCTTGTGAGAAGAATGAGAATTTGGCTGCCAACTTTCTTCTACAGCAGAACTTTGACGAAGATCGAAGGGACTCTTGTATCTCACTCACGCCAGTGCATTACACTAACTTTGTTCACTGGACTGTCCGGGGTGCCTTGGGCTCATAGCCACAATATTTGGTATATGGTAGTAGGTTGGTGGGGTGGGAGGGAGGGAGCTAGGACACAGGGCAGGGATACACACGATGCATGTCTGCTTCAGCTAGCAGATGCTACAGAGCCACACAGTGTAAAATACTAGACAACCAAACATCTGCCTTTGCAGGTCTTCATTCTTCCAAACAGTAAGTAACATTTCCTGGGTTTCACTCTAGTGTATTAGATCCAGAAATTTAGTGTGATACCCTGCTTTCTCTTTTCTTTGACTTAACATTAAAGGTTTCTGAATTTTTGTTACCTAGAATCTACAGTCTGTTTTATGGCAACACTGGATAATGGCTTTTTGAAATTGGAAAAAAAATGGAGCACCTGTAAACAGAAATGCCAAATTATTGGTGGTCATTGTTGCTGCTTCACATAAATATGAAACTGATGCAAAAGGAAGCCCTTTCTTCATGTTCAGTACTTGGGAGGGTAGAGGGGGTCATTTTCTTAAAAAGAGAATAATTACTGCGATTTTTAAACTTCCTGATTATTGAATGTGAGACCCTCTGACGTGATTTGAGAAGCTGTACATATATAGGCAGAGTTATTTTTACATTCTTTATTTGTTTTGGGAAAATTGGTAGGTGTCTAATTACTGTTTACTTCATTGTTGTATTGCAGTAAAAATTAAAAAAAATAAAATCATATTTTACAAGCTAATGTAACAATTGTGTGCTTTTTATATTAGAGGGCTTATTCTGGCATTGATTCTTTAGTGTTTTTGGTTTTTTGCTTTTTTTTTAGCCCTGGCTGTCCTGGAACTCATTCTATAAACCAGCCTGACCTTAAACTCAGAGAGATCCACCTCTGTGCCCTGAGTGCTGAGATTAAAAGTGTGTGCCACCACCACCCCGTGATACTTCAGCATTTTTTAAGTCTTGTTTACATGTAAGAATCTACTGACTATTAAATTTAGGCTAGGCAACTAAGACTCCCAGGTGACATCTGTCAAGTTAGAAGGGATTCTGGCATGATACAAAAGGCTCATCTTACCTAGAACTTTTAAAGTCTAGCTTGCTCAGCAAATCATTTCACACAGGCTGAAAGAGCAGTTTTGAGACAGGGTCTCATGTGGCCCAGGATAGACTCAACCTGGTGATGCACCGGTGGGTGTCCTGAACTCCTGATAGTCTTGTCTCTACTTTTCAAGTGCTGAGATTACAGGCATTTGCCTTCATACACGGTAAAGTCATTTTCAAAAACAAAACAAAACAAAACAAAAATCTCTGTCCTCTCTGTCTTCTCAAATGTCAATGAAACATTTTACTTATATTTAAAATAGGATAGAAATGTTTTCATTTACTTTTTTTTTTTTTTTTTTGAGACAGGTACTCATATAGCCTAAGCTGGTCTTGAAGTTATGCAACTGGGGCTGGCCTCAAGTTTATGTTCTTCTCATCTCTACCTTCAAACTGTTGGGGTTATCGGTGTGTATCCTCGTACCCTACTCCCTAAGCACACTCCTAAGCCTTATCTACAAATGTATGTTTTTTTTTTTTTTTTTTTGAGATTACTGATTTGAAACTTGATTTCTGGCTCTTCTAAAGTCACCTCTGCATTTAATGACTTAAATAAGTGACAAAAACAATGTAAGTATAAAAAGGTGTGGAGGGTGGCAGAGAATAGAAGACAGGAGTGAAGAGGCACAACTTAACATCAGTGCAGCCATGACAGGCTGCAAACTAACAACAGTGGGACTAGGCCTCACCATTATAGTAATCAGGAAATGCTCAGACAGTACCCTGCGGGGACCAATCAGAATTGAGACCAAAAAAAGTACTAGATGCTTCAGAACATTAAGAATACCTTAGCTGCCCAAGCCATACCATTGTCACCTGTATTCAGGGGCCTAGTTTGGTGACAACAGGTTCCCCGGTTGTCAGTCAGGAGTCAGTGATCTTCCACAAATTCGGGTCAGCTGATTTTGTGGGTAGATGAAGTCACTGTTAGGGGGACCAGGATCTAACTCTAATGCATGAACTGACTTTGTAGAGCTCATTCTCTATGGACAGATACCTTGCTCAGCCTAGGCACAGGGAGGAGGAAGACCTTGGTGCTGCCTCAAGGAGGGGATGGGACAGTTCTATTGACTTCTCAGGGGAGGCCTTAACCTCTCTGAGGAGTGGATGGGGGTGGGTGGAGAGGGGTAGCAGGAGGAGAGGAAGAAGGGGGAACTGGGATTGGTATGTTAAAAAAGAAAAAAATAGCTTTCTGAACTTGTATATAGGTCGCCAATTTTCTTGTAGTGACACCATTACCAATCCCTGTTTGACAAAACTGTTACCTTACTCCTGCCCAATCAGTTCAACCCCCATCTGATTTTGGAATTTCCCTATCCACCCATCCGTTACTTTTCAAAAATCCTGCCTCAACTAAGCTCTGGGCTCCCTGATCCAACCGCTGTGTCAGAACAGACAGAGTCCAAGTTCCAGTTTTGCAAGAAAGACTTTGCTTTTGTATATGGATTCTGGACTCCTGGTGGTCTCTGGGGAAGGGGGCTCATGACATGGGCATAACAAGGAGCATAGTAATAGAATGGATGCATTATGATTGATCAGAAGGAAAAAACAGGGAGTCCCTCCATTTGAGAAATTGCACCTATTTTTTCCAAGGAGGTATTTATTTAGTGTAAATTACTTCTCCCTGTTTACGTGGGCTTCTGTTTTCAGGAATGCAGTTTCTCATTGTCAGTCTTGGACCAACATACTCTTTCACCTTAAAAGAGTTAAAGTATAAGGTTCAAGAATTCATCCTTGAATTTGCTAAGAATTTTGTCATTTCGAAGTCTCAAATATATCTTCTATAAATGAGCCACATTTTCACTTACATTCCAACCCTAAGATAAATATTTCTAGGAAGAGTTATTCTATTATACAATAATAGAAGAAAAACTTTTGTGGCACATTAAGTTTTAACCCACCAACTAAACACGGCTGCTATAACCTTTGGAAAATAAACAGAGGGCTACCTGCACCCAATTCGCGCCCTGGAAAAGTGAAACTTTCCTCCAGTTCCTAGAAAAATTGATGTCAAAGATGTCTACTTGTACGAAATTAATGCAGCATAGTCTTTAGCTGAATCTGGCTTCTACACTGCCCACGAAACCGGTTCCACACTAGAAGCAGAAGGGAAATTGCATCAAATGACCTAAGACTCAAATACCTTATACCTCAAGCCTTATACCTTATACCTCAAGCAGTAAACAGGCAAAGCAGCGCAGCCTCGGAACTGCGCCTGGGGACCGAAACGTACACCATGGCCTTGTTTCGCTGGCCTACTTTCTGAGATAAGCGGCTCTCTCCGGCCCGTGTGGAGCAGGCAGTGTCTCCTCTGTCCACTTCTCAGGCTGCACTTGGCCAGGAATGGACTTTCTCCACCTTGAGGGAGCTGGCCATAGGCAGGACTAATGCGCTCTGAGTGTGGTAAGTGGTCTTTGGTTATTTGTGGCGGTAAAAGGACGCTGACATCGTTGTAACTCAGTGCTGAGTCGGACGACCCCTACATAATTAGCTAGAGGAACCCGAGAAAGGCCGTAAACAGCACTGAGCATGCGCGGCCAGTGTGCTTCTTTACAGCCAGGCCGCCGGAAGTGGAGCTTCCGGAATCGGCGTCCGTGCGGGAAGTGGAGCCTCGGGATTCGGAGTCCGGGCGTGATGACGCGCATACGCGGGAATACGTGAGGACGCAGGCGGGTCTTAGAGAGAGTGAGTTTCCGCGTCTGTTCGGCTGAGTTTGGGGCGTCGCTTTTGTGCGGCAGGTGTCGCGGCTTTCCCGGACCTCAGATGGAGGGGCCGGGGCTGAGATCCCTGGCGCGGGCCGGGCGGAAACGCTGCCTTGGGGCTAGGGTCCGCCGGGCGGAAGCGCTGCTTTGGAACCGGGCGGGAGATCAGAACCGGCCGGGCTGGTCTGGGTCTTCTTCCCTCAGGCTCAGGGTGGGTGGGGAATGGGGGTCGAGGGGGAACAGGGGCCTGGTGGTGGTCGGGGAGGAGACGCGGGCCGGTCTCACCCTGATAACTTGCCCGAACGCTTGGAAGTCAGGGCTACCCGGATGGGCTTTTGATAGTAGGTTCCTCTGATATCGGCAAGTTTGAGACGAAATTGCATCAGCCACAGAGCTTATTGTAGCAGGTGTTTGTGGGGACCGTTGCTTCGGTCTCGACGAAAACCCATACTAACCTCTGAAAGGCTGTTTCACGTTATTGGGGACAGACTTACACCTGAAGGACTCATCTCTGTTCTGCCCACACAAAAAGCTCGTATTGTATGCGTTTCTGTTGTTGCAAACAAGGCATCAAGTATTTTTTAAAACTATTAATATCTGATTGTTACACAATTAAGATTTATTTGTCAGGCTGTCTTAAAGTCCCTTTCAGTAGGTTCGTGGCACGCACCTTTTTTGTTGTTGTTGTGGAGGGTGTCTAGTTTTCATACCTCTCTACTTTTTGTTCCAAAGTCCTAGCCGCCGTTACCTCTTCCTGCTTTTGTTACTGGTTCTGCTTCCACTCTTCTAGTGTTCTGACTCATTCCAGGAGAGCAGGTGATCCACACACAATAGTCCTGCTTTGGTCCCGGATTGCCACATTATCATCGTCTTCTGGGGAATTGTTGGCAATACAGATTTTAGTGTCACAGCCCTTTGAGCATGCCTTCAGGTCCATTCCAGTGCTTCTGGGTGCTGAATTTCACGAACAGCATAGCTATAAAAAGTACTTAGTTGCGAAGTCACAGATGCTGTTTGAATAAGGTGAAGTCACTTAACTGTGACGTCATAGTGCTAAGCATTCCATGAGCAAACAAGTAGGTAGTGCTAACACATGTTACTCAAAAGTCAGGCGTTACTAAGTTACTAGACCTGCATGAAGAAAGCACGGAGATTGTGGAGGAAGGGCAGATTGTGGGATCCATAGGAGATGGGAGTCCATGGATATTGTGGCTGCCGCATAAAGGATATTTCTTTTATCCTGTCACATTCTGAGAATTTAGACACAGGATAACTTTTTAGCTGGATATGGTGGCTTACACCTGTAATTCTAGTGCTCTGGAGGCTGAGGCAGGAGAAATCAGAAGTTGGAGGCCAGCCTGGGATACATAATGAGGCACTATCCAAAACATCAAAACACCAGAAAGTTACAGCAGTAGGCACTAATACTAGTAATATTTACAAAATGGGCTGATAGTAATTGTGACAAAGTAATTTAAACTTTTTTGGTTTTCTTGTTTCTTCAGCTTATTTATACCAAAGGTTGACCTAGAATTTGGTAAAGGCCAGAACAGAGTTGAAAAGAAAGGTAGAGGAGTGGCTAGCACTCCAAAGCCAAAGCTGATGATGTTTCTAGCCTTGTCTTTTGTCCTCATATGTCATACAGCTCCATCATAGCAAAGAAGGCCTCGTGTCTGTTTTTATTTGAAGGCTCACAATTAAGTTAGACAGGCTCTCAACCTGCTGATAGTCTTCAAGTTTCTACATGTAGCATTTTCTAAGAATTATTCCTTTCTCCAAGAGTCCACCTAGGGGAAGAAAGAATTGTTCAGGATTTGAAGAGACTGCCCTAGAGCCTAGACTTTGTCACAGTATTGAAAAGGATTAGCAACTAACTGTGGCTTGTATAACATACAACTTTGACTAGAGAGCACTGGCACTCAGTACCTGAGACTCTGCAATACCCTAGGGAGTAAATTGTCATGTACATATGCTGCTTGTGATACCAGCTTCTGTCAGTATCAGTTAACCTTACCACCAAAATGATTCAGTCCCGTCACGAAACAATTGTTTTTCAAAGGCTCCAAATGTTTTCTTACTCTCTGTATGAGAAGGATGGGTAGCTATGGTTCTGGGTCAGACCAACCCTGCTTGAGTCCTGTCCCCCCTGTGCATTGATTATGGCCTACAGACAAATTAGCATCTGTCCAGTTTTAATCTCCCCCTGTAAAGTGGAAGTCATAACAGCATCTGAGGTGCCTATGTTAAATGAGACAGTGTGTTAACTCTTATTTGTTACTGCATCATGTTAGACAATGTCTCTTGTTGGAAGGGGAAGAAATGTTTGTCAATTTCATGCTGACTGCCTTGTTTATTTCCTAATGATACAAGGTCATTTTACTACCCGGCCACTTCTCTTTTCAAGTGGCGAAGCTGCTGAAGTGAGAGTCGAGACTTCATAACATTGTGAGAGAAAGCCAACACTTGGAGAAGGTTACAGCTCAGCTTGGTAGAAAACCGTTAGTTATTTCAACAGCAGTGATTTCTAGACATTGTTTTCATAATTTCCAGAAGATTAGAGTTAATTAACATCAAAATGTCTTTGATTATCTTATACTTGATTTCTTTGGGTACAGATTTCTCTGTCATATGATGCTTTTTGTGTTATAGACAATGATACCTCTGCAGATAAATGCATAAAAATGTTATTGGCCCTGAAATAATCGATATTTTTCAATATATATACTTTACCTAGAACACTGGTGTGTTCTACTTTTTAAAAAAAGTCGAAGTCCTTATATTTTCCTCATGTTTTTACATAGCTATAAATGTATGAACATGAAATATACTTAGAAAAATTCATAATGGGCCACACTTTTGTTTGCTTTGTATTATGCGGGTAAGGAGCAAATATAAGAATAAATAATCTATACACTTATACGTGTACTACATTAAAATTATTGTAAAAAGTCATTAAAAGTTTGAAATTGTTTTTAAAAGAATTCCTTAGATGGAGCTTTTATTCCATCTAAACAGTGATTTTCTGATTTTTTGTTTGTTTAATTTTGTTTTAACTTGGAGCCTCTTAAGCAGAAATTTACATAGGAAATTTAAATGTCAAAAGACTCATGATTTCTGTGGGGTTGAAAGACACAGACTCCTGATGCAGAATGTGTCTAGAGAATGGGATTCTGGGAATCTGTGTATGAGTCACTGTCAGTGACATAGCTCCACAAGGGCTCTATACCCAAAACTGTGATGTTAGAATCCTTAGACATGTTGCTAGTTTTGTCACTGGGGCAAGCATATGTCTGGGTTTTCATACAGAGACATGGGTGATTATGTAAAAACAAAGTAACAACAACAACATAAACCTGAACAAATAGAGTCCTCAGTCTGTATTTTCACAGAAATAGGATTCCATGCAGAAAAACAAACAACAAACCCACAGCTTTTTAAAAATCTCTCTTACACTGTGACAGCTGTATCTGTATGAAAAACTGCTTCATATTTTAACTGTTATTTAGTATCATAAGTGACTGGGGAAGAGAAACAATGAGTCAAAAGAAAGTAGACGGTGTTGCTTGTGTTTACAGGCCGTAGTGTTTTTGCTGTTTGACAGTATCTGCTTTTCATTCATATTGGTAAAGTAGTTTCTGTTTGTTTTGTTTCTGTTTTACTTAATTTTTACTTAATAATGACTCCCCATAAAAACCTAACCATTTGTGAGCTTGTTCCTAGTAGTGGTAGTACCGCTGTCATTTTCACACATTGAGAGGGCTTTCCTGGTGACAGCTGGAGAGTGGGGGAGGGGAGTCACTTTCAATCAACCAGCTGCTCCTTGCAGCATCATGGTGGTGATATTTCAAAGCTGGTGGCTAATTCTGGCTGTATTCGGAAAAGAAAATGTGTCATATTTCTGGGATGCAGTAGATAGTGTGCAGGAGCCCTTTGGGATCCAGATGATAGCCAGCTGACAGCGTGTGCATTCAGGCTTGCATGTCAGTGTTATTTACCGTCTAGTTTCTTGGACATTGTTACATGTACATCATAATTACAAAGCAATAAAGTCCAGTTCCATGGGGAGAAAGTCTCATTACTTTATGGACAGGAAGGGAAAATGAAAACCGAACTACGGTGGTGTACTACGTGCTTTTATGTGGTGTGCTATTTCATCCGTCTTCACCTTGGCTTTAGGAAGTCAGAGGGATTTTCTTTATCCAGCAGCTAAAGAGCCAGCAAGTTCGGCAGAACTGAGGTCGTGGTGTGTCCAATCCAAGGTCACATACCATATTTGACCCCTTCTGACTTTAACTTCAGGGATGTTACACCATGAGCTGTTTCCTCAGGGTGCTAAATGACGTATATTTTTATTCCAGAGTCACAGTATTAGGATAGCAATGAATGAAATTTATGTATGTATTACAGTGACTTCGGATTTATAAGTAACATGTAATGAGTGTGTGTTGCAGCCATGTGTAATTCTGGATTTTCTTTTTCTTGAACAAAGTGTTTTGGGCAACACTGAAACCATGATACCTTTCTTTCAGCAACTTTGTAATTTTGTGCATTGTGATGAATGAGTTGTGCTTCAAAATTTGAGCCACTATAGAAAGATGATATACTGGCACCTTGTCTTTTCCCATTCAACCAGTATCCTGTCAAGGTGTGCTAATTTTGTATTCATAAGGGGCTTCTAAATTTCCACCCTGAAAAGTCCTTTAATTTCCGTGAAATGGTTTTACTACTGTTCTGTGGAATTTGGGGAATCATGTCATCTTCTTCCTCATGGCTTAAGAACAATGTTTCTGCTAGTGTCATTGCCATAGAAAACCGCAAAGCTTGTTTTGCTATTTCTTCTGTATGCATGCACACGTATGTGCAGTTTTGAAGTAGTTCATCCTATGCTAATGCTGCTGTTGATGACATTGCTTTTCTAGGCTGTGGCTTCCTCAGAGGACTAGCTTGTTAAATAGAAGGAGTATAGACTGATGCAATCATGTTCTTTATGTGGTTTTAGACACATTGAAATGTGTCTGTTTATGCACTGGGTGAAGTGAGAATTGAATGGATGAGTTTCTGGGAAGTGCTTAGAACCCTTCCTGGAGGCCATGAGACGGAAGAGATTCAATGCTTGCTTAGTTTTGTTTCTTTTCTTCTTTTTCTTTTCCTTTTAAGATTTATGTATTATGTATACAGTGTTTTGACTGCTTATATGTCTGCATACCAGAA